AGTAACGAGTTTATGAGAGTACGAATAGACACAATAGTGATTTTGTTTAGCTCGGGAGAAAAAGTACGCAGCATTTGGTGTAAAGTAAATTTATTCTAATCGTAGACCCAAGGCGCAGTAATCGAAATAATTAATTTAAGCGTACCTTAAGGGAGAAGCAAGTCGTTGACGAGAGGCCTACGACGTCGCCTTGCACGACCCCCGAGATGGCGAAGCGATCGCTTAGATAAATTTATTCGTCGATTGAGAACGCCACGAAGCGCGACGCTTAGGGTTGAATGAAATTAAGCGTTTACGTAGCGGTCTAGTCCATTCTTCTCGCGTGGTTAACGAATATAATGTACATAAAATAATAAAACGGAAAAAAACACACAGATTTAGAGAACGGCGAATCGCGGCAACCGCAAATTAGCGCGCATCGTCGTACCTTTTTATTATGCTGATTTTGTATTTATTGGTTAATTGCGGAGTTTATAGATGGACACACACAGACACATACACACACACACACACGCGCGCGCGCGCGCGCGCGAATCACACACATAATTCTCATCGTTTCGGTTCTCGTAATGATTTCCAACGATAAGTGTTAATTTATTGACTGTGAATAGAAATAAAGGATGGAAGAGATTCAAACGAGAATCTTCTCGTATCTGTGTGTATTTCATTTCGCGAAAATCACGGCAAACTTCCGCATTCATAATCCGCCTTAATATCCCTCCTAAAGACAACGAGGCAGTTGCAGTAAACGGTAAGTACTTCATTAAGATAACATGTAACAGCGTAATCTCAAAATCCAAAACGACTAAACAACGCTTAATCGACTGCTAAGATTTTTCCAAGAAGTTCATTAAATAAAAGTTAAAAAAATATCAAAGTTCCTTAAAAAGAAATTAAGAAATTTTTGGATGCAAAATATACATATATTATTTTGCTAAAATCTTTTCAACTTTATTATAAATACGACGAAATTTATTCTGCACCAACGGAATGAGTCTTGAAACTTCACGTGTAACGAATCCGCACACATACCGGAGCAATTGGCGGTTGTTTTTAAAACAATGTAAACAGCGAATCACGGAAGAATTTACGGCGCCGCTTGTTCTTGCGGCCGCTGTTTCGGGAAACGTGCTTTCGCGCAAACGGAATAATTAGACAGTTTCTTGCTCGATTAACGAGCTTCGCTGACGTTAAGCGTCGTGATGTCGTTTCATAAAGTACGCGACACCAACTCCCACTTTAACGCTGCCACGCGGTGCCATTAGCGGGAAGAAGTTCCAGGTGACGGACGACTCCTTGTCCGCCGTTGGTAACTCCGTGCTCACAAACTTCGCGCTTTGGTTATCTGCCATTACTTGGAAAGATCCTCTTATTTAACTATCCTCCTTGCTCGCTCGTCGTTGCTCGTAATTGTGGAAACTCCGGAAAACGCAGCCGTCTCTCGCCGAGCTCAGTTAGTCCGGCGCGGCGGCGATCGTTATTTCTCATCGTTTCCTGCGGATTAAATTAAATTATAAATGTACATTTTACGCATCGGTTCGCAAAGAGTTTGCAGAATTTTGACTCCCATCTGTCATCACATGTTGTCAATTAAATGTCATCGTGGCTGCTAATTAAAGACAATCAATGAAAAAATTTCGCAGTCTCTCATTAACGCGTACGTTAATTGAGACATACGAGATCGCTTTCATTCAATTTCACCGATATGTTCTTTGATATCATGCCAACAATATCTCATGTGTTTGAACTCCAATTCGCTCCAATAGCAAATCTTATAACGAATAATCGTGCGAGAGACGACGAATTCTTCTCCGAAGAAGGTACGATAAAAAGCACTTAATAATGTATGTAAATGCACCCTCCGAGAATCATTTCGAACGTTATGGCGTGTACGTGTCCACTCGTAAGCTTTATTTCGTACCCAAGGGACAGCGGGAACTTTTAGTGTGCTAGATTATGGCGGTAATAACTCGACGAGTTTCTTTGCCCGCGACTCGTGGTCCACGTGAGCAAATTCTTCATCCCCCCGGGGGGAGAGATCTAATTTAACTTTTAGGGTCGCGCCTCGCGCAATCACGACGGTTTCTGGGTAATTCAGCCCAGCCGTCGTGAATTCAGTTACGTATCTTGTATTACTCGCTTCGTTACGTCCCATTTTATATAAAAATGGGATCTTTTGTTTTATAATATTTTACCACATGTCGTTTGGCAATTTACTTATCACGATTAACAAACGTATTATTTTTGCGTGTACGCATAATATGTAATTATTAGTTATTTATAGAAGGATAATTGTCAGGATAATCGTTGTATCATATGTGAAAGCGGCTCCGCAAATTCCCGATCGATTAAGTTGTCGTGAAGAGACGTTTATCTCACCGTTATCTCGATTGTACGGATGAATTGACGCGCGATTCATCGGCGTAATTTTAATAATATAATCAAGTTCTGCCGAGTCCGCTGTATTCCGTAAGCAAGATTTATCGCGTAAAGGATACGCGCCGGAGCCGCGTTTATTGTGGCGCACCATAAATCGCGATCGGACGTCCACTCCGTCCGTCCATTCCGACCGATCCCGGCGTTATCGGTTGCGCGATCGGGCAAAACGATCGGTTATACTTCGCACGGGGACTTTTGCGCTTCTTGTACGCCCATAACAACCTTAATTACTGTCCACGCTAATGAATCAAGCGAGAAGATATCGCTATCGGCACTGCGCATAGCTGAGAGCCGGATGAAGCTTCGTTGCGAGATTGCTTTACACCCGGGGCGAGATAA